GGGTTTAGGGTTTAGGGAAGCAGAAAGGGTTTAGGCTGTAGGGGTGTTGCTTAGCAGGAGTTTGCCTTGGGTGAGTGTTACGGCCGAGCAGAAGCTGGTTTGGAGGAGGGTGCCGGCAGAGATTCAGCTCAGAGCTCAAGCCGGTGTGTGCTTTTCTCATTTGTTAGGCTCGCGGTTTTCCCGTTAAATAAATGTGTTTTCGGTGTTTTGCTTTTTGGGTGGAGTGCAAGGATTTCCTTTTTCGGGGGGGTCTTCCGTTGGTATCCTAGAATCAGGGCGACCTGCTGCAAGGGGTTGGTCTTGGTTTTAGGGTTGGTTAGGGTTCAAAGAAGGCTTGGTTCAGGGTGTAGCAAAAAAAGAGTTTCGGGTTAGAGGCTTGGCTGGGGGTTTCTCCAACCCTAAACCCTAAACCCTAAACCCTAAACCCTAAAACTCCCCCCCCCCCCCCCCCCCCCCAATTGCAAAGCCTGTCAAGGCAGCTGGCGAGACAAAACCTGATCCTGGGTCGCAAGTAGGCAAGCGGAACGGCACCGACTTCCTGGTTTGGGGTTTAGGGCTAGGGTTTAGGGTTGAGCGATTAGGGCTTAGGGCTAGGGCTTAGGGTTAGGGTTTAGGGTTTAGGGTTTAGGGTTTAGGGTTTAGGGTTTAGGGTTTAGGGTTTAGGGGTTAGGGTTTAGGGTTTAGGGTTTAGGGTTTAGGGTTTAGGGTTTAGGGTTTAGGGTTTAGGGTTTAGGGACGGGTGAGGAGTTTGAGAGTTTGGGGAGTCGGTTGGAAGGGATCCGGACAGGCTTCAGAGGTCCGCGATAAAAAAAGGGTTTAGGGTTTAGGGTTTAGGGTTTAGGGTTTAGGGTTTAGGGTTTAGGTTTTAGGGTTTTAGGGTTTTAGGGTTTAGGGTTTAGGGTTTAGGGTTTAGGGTTTAGGGTTTAGGGTTTAGGGTTTAGGGTTTAGGGTTTAGGGGGGCATCTTGCGGTTCACAATTGCCTCCGCACATTCTTCGCGTGATCCAGGTTTAGGGTCTACTTGAAGGTTCATGGGTACTTAGGGCACTTAGGGTGTAGGGTGTAGGGTTTAGGGTTTAGGGTTTAGGGTTTACTTGAAGGCTCATGGGTAGCTATGAGTAGGGTTCTAAACACCCTTCATGAAGGTTTCAATCTCGCTCACCTTACTTCTATTAGCCTTCAAGTACCACCTAAACCCTAAACCCTAAACCCTAAACCCCCCCCCCCCCCCCGAAGACATCGCAGCCGAGGCTCAAAAAGAACATCGTGCCGCCGAAAACCCCGATACCCTGGCACATGCGCCTCTACCCTGAGAAGAAGGCCCATGAATGCCAGGGTGCATAGCTAGGACGGATTAGGCTTGAGGGTTTAGGGTTTAGGGTTTTAGGGTTTAAGGGTTTAAGGGTTTAAGGGTTTAAGGGTTTAAGGGTTTAAGGGTTTAAGGGTTTAGGGGTTTAGGGGTTTAGGGGTTTAGGGTTTATGTTTTAAAGGGCTGGTTTCAGCATATCATGTGAGGCTGTGCTGCATGTCACCTCATGGCCGAGCGGTCCAGCGTAACATGCAGAGCCCAACAAGCAGATGGAGCTACGATCATGAGACTTGCACATCTCCGAACTTCTTATGAGAACAAGGTCCCCTGTTTCTTTTGAAGAATTGCCACGAACCACTCCGTTTTTTCTCTATCCCATCTGAATTTTTACAGGGGCTGTGTTCGTGTTTCGGTTTGGCCGTTCGTTGATCTATCCTGGTCGTGATGGTTAACTTCTGGGCTGCTGGGGGTTGCGACTGAGGAAACAGGATTTCGAGTTTGACGGCCCTAAACCCTACACATCGCAAACCTGGTCTTCTTGGCGGCTGACCAAAAAACCCTAAACCACCAAGACCCGACAAAACTGGTAGCCCGGTGGTACCCTTTCCCTTTTATTGGTTCAAGGCACCCAACCCCAAGAAAGGCTGCCCTTATTCTAATGTCTATTTTTTTGCTTAATAAGAACCCCCAAACAATAACATATAATCCTTTTTTATCCTTTATAGTCATAAGGATTTTGTTGTTGATTTTTTGGTTGGTTCATATGCAAATAGTAGATATGGTTATTGGGCTTCCAAGTAAACCCCCTCCCACCTTTCGAAGGCCGCTGGGAAAGATGATGCGGTCAAGCCTCCGCAGAAGCGGCTCAACTAGGGTTTGGGGTTTAGGGTTCAGGGTCCCAGGCGGGCAGTGCAGCAGTCCTAGCCGTAAAAAGGGTTTAGGGTTCAGGGAGCCTGAGATACGGCCAAGTTGTTTATACAGCCTCTATAGGGTTTGGGGATCTTATGGTTTTCAGAGGGGGGGAGGGGGGGGGGTTCCTGGCAATCATTTCAAATGCCCCGATGTGGGCAGCTTTGTCTCTCGATAATGCTATCTGCTCCCAGCTTGTGTGGGAGCTTAAAAGACCCCTCCCCCCCCTGATGCCATCTCACACGCCTGGGCGTCGGAAGCTGGGGAGACAGGCAAACTCGTAATTATATAAACATATCCCCCCAAACCCCTATATCCCCCAAACCCCTATTCTAATTTTCAGGCCCCTACACCCTAAACCCTAAAACCCTGTTCTAATTATTAAGGCCCCTATATTAAATCCCGGCTCCTCGGCAAGAGTTCCGGGGTCAGCACCCCAGGGCCGCATGGGGAAAGCGCCGGGGTTTTTTTTAGGGGTTATAGGGTTTGAGGGTTTAGAGGGTTTTAGGGTTTAGGGTTTAGGGTTTAGGGTTTAGGGTTTAGGGTTTGAGGGTTTGAGGGTTTAGAGGGTTTTAGGGTTCTGGGTTTAGGGGTTATAGGGTTTGAGGGTTTAGAGGGATTTAGGGTTCTGGGTTTAGGGGTTATAGGGTTTGAGGGTTTATAGGGTTTTAGGGTTTAGGGGTTTATAGGGCTTTAGGGCATTAGGGTTTGAGGGTTTATAGGGTTTTAGGGTTTCGGGTTCTGAACTAAAGTACAGGGACACCGAAGAAACTTGGCTGGTTTCGCTCAGGTGCTCACCTTTGTCTCAGCCGCAAACCTCCCACGAGCCTAAGACCCCAAAGCCAAAGCATCTCCGAACACCCTCTAAGCCCGAAACCCACTAGATGCTACAACTTCGAAAATGCGGCCCCAAAGCCTGACAGCAATTAGGGATTAAGGGCTTGCAATATGGGGTTTTCAGGACTTGTCAGAGCTCAGGAAAGTCAGCCAACGCACCACGGCGGGGGACTTTGTCTTGGCCACTTGGCAGTGCTTTTGAGTCCCCAAGGGTTTAGGGTTTAGAGTTTAGGGTTTAGGGTTTAGGGTTTAGGGTTTAGGGTCGGCCCCAACCCCTAAACCCAAAACCAGGGGCATCCCCAATTGTCGTTTCGGAGGTACAAAGGAAGAATCACACAAAAGGCCCAAGTCCCAAAAATCAGGCAGCTGCACTTGCGAGGTGTAAGTCGAGAGTGGGCGCCTTATGGTCTCTTACCCAACACCCTAGCTGGGCCTTAAACCCCAAGCCCTCAAAATTGGAGCTAGGGCTCAGGGAGTTGGGGGCTTTCGGTGTTTAAGGCAGCCTGAACACCCTAAACCCTAAACCCCACGTATGAAGTAGAGTGTCACACACACAAGTAGACCCGGTGAGCCCACAAGTTTGCAGCATGCTGAGTGGTCCAGAGATAATGCAACCCAGGGATTAGGCGTTTAGAGCTGAAGAGTTCAGGGTTTAGGGTTTAGGGTTTAGGGGACGCCGGCCTATGAGGGTAAGGGCCACGTCCTTCGAGACAAGCTTGTGGTTCAGGACACGATGCTGTCGGCACTGCGACACCGTGTCTTGGCGCTAAACCCTGAACCCTAAACCCTTCGGTAGTTGCACCATCCCAGCCATGCACACCTTCCGGTCGAGACTTTGAAGGTGCGGGGTTGAGGACCTTCATACTCAGCCACAGCTGCATAATCCCAAGTTGTTTCGGAGGGGGGTGTGATGCCCCTTTTGGGGGGGACACGATTTATGATGTCATTTAGGGCTTGAGTTCAGGGCTTATGGCCAGCACCGTACAGCTTCCGCAATCTCTCCGGACACAGGTTGCGCAGCGTTCCTGCCTCCTGATCGGAAGCTCCTGCAACCCGGCACCAAGGAAAACGGTTGTTTTCTGCCATCCGCCTAGCTGACAAGTCTCGGACCCACTGCAGGGTACGGTTCGGCTTTAGGGTTGGGATGTTCCCCCTCAAACAAACAGTCCGTAGTAGGGATTCTAATAGGGGGTTCTAGAATTGAATCCCCAGGAAGGACTGTTTGTATAAGGGGGAACATCCCAACTGTGGTCACGTGCTGTTTTCAGATAGGCGGGGCCAGTCAAGTTTGAAACCGTGCCACGGCCAGCAGATTGGACCATAGTTAGTTTGGAAACGCTAGCTCTGAACCCTAGGCCCTCTAAAACCTAAACCCGAAACCCAAACCCTATAAAACCCCATAAACCCTGTGAACCCTAACCCCCCCCAGTTCCACGCTGAACCTCCAGCAGGTTTGAGTCGGTAAAGAAGATCATGGACGAGTACAAGGAGGCCACTCCCACCCCCTAAGCCACTAGGGCGCTCAGGGTGCGGGGTTTATGGGGTTGAGGGTCTTTAAGCTCAGGTAAGGGCTTAGGGCTTAGGGGTTTAATAGGGTTTGGCGCCTTTCTTGATGCGCCAGCCAACCCGCAGCTGTGTAGGAGATCATGCGGGCTTCAGGCTATGAACTCCAGAGTTGCCTTTTAGGTGTTTTTCAGTGTTTTTTTTCAGGCTTTTCATTTTAGGGGGTTTTAGGGTATTTAGGGTTTTTAGGGTTTTTTGGGGGGAGTTTTTAGGGTCTTTTGGAGTTTTGTGGCCCGACTGTTGAACGTCCCCCTCCCGTAGCAAGGGTAGGGTTGTTAGGTGGTTATGGCATGTTGCACACAGCCCCCTAGGGTCCCTAAAGGAGCTCCTTCGCTCCCTTTTAAGCTGCCACTCGCGAAATTCATGCATGCAGCGCACCAGCCATGCCAGCCAGCTGCACGAAAGCTGGCTGCCCCTGCTCTGGCGATGGCCTCATCGCCATGTTTCGAACCAAGTGCCTTGAGTGCTGGCGGCCCTTGGTTCCAGGGCAGTGTATCATCCCTTACACTGGGGTGGCCTCGGGCTGGATGCATTCCGAGTGCCCGGACAAAGCTCGCGGCGTCTTGAGGGAGTATGAGTCGGTGATTGACCCAGAGGCTCTCAATGCAGGAGGTCACTTAGTAGCTGAGTGAGTACACTTTACACTTTTTGGACTACTATCATCCCCTCTAGAAACTGCAAGTGTGCACTTTTTGGGGGCTTATGAACTCAGCGACTAAGGTCATGCCCCTGAGCCACTGGAAAGGCCCCGGAAGCAGCTTACGCGGGAGCAGCTTAGGGTGTTGAACTTCATCTCGCTGCCTGGACAGCTGCTCAGGATCGTTGCAGTGGCAGGGGCCGGCAAGACCACCACCTGTGTCTTTGTCATAGTTGGGTAACATTTTACATTTTACATGTTTAAGGGTACTTAAACCCAATAAAGAATATGAATTTAGATTTTTCGTACTATCCCAACCATGAACTATAAACCCTAAATCCTAAACCCTGCCGAGTCCTTGCCTGCCTTGTGCGAGCGCGAGAGCCGAAATCCTAAACCCTAAAACCTAAACCCTAAACCAGGTGTGAGGCTAGCCGACCGGCTGTTGGACAGCCACTTTGGCGAGCGCGACCTTCGAATCTTGTATGTCGTGTTCAATGACAAAGCTAAGGAGGACTGCTTTAAAGCCCGGTAGCCATGTTATAATAAGGGTTTAGGGTTTAGGGTTTAAGAACCCCCCCAAAAAAACAAAAACTAAAATAGTAATCCCTATACTACCCTTGTAAGGAAGCTTTTTTGGGGGGGGGTTCTTAATCACTTGGTAGAGGAAGCATCTGCGCGGTTTGACAAGCGGGTGCTCGTCAGCACGTCCCACGCGCTGGCCAAGAAGAGGGCGTGGCCGCATGACAGGGTCGAGGGAAGCCTGGCAGCCCAGCAGTACTTGTTTTTTTTTTTTGTTTCCCTTTTTGTTGGTTCAAAGGTTCCCTTCTAAAGTACCCAACCCCAAAAATTGTTTCTTTTTGTTGGTTCAAGGTTCCCTTCTAAAGCACCCAACCCCCAAAAAAGGGGTAACCTTATTATAATAATATGGTTACTGAGCTGCCAAGGAAGTCATCCTGGCCTGGATGTCGTGGCACAACGTTTGGGGCTGGAGCAACTTGCAGAGGCCGAGGTGGACAAAGGCCAGGAAGGCTCAGCCAGCCAAGACAGCGAGAGGAAGCGCCGGCGTAAAGTTCAGAAGCTCTACCGGCGGCAAGCGCGCTTTGTTCTCAAAACCTTGGGTAGCTTCCTGAGCTCCGATTCGCAGCACGTCGAGGAGCGGCACGTCTTCTACAAGGCGCTGGAGCAGAAGACATTCTTGCCGAAGCTCTACATCGAGAAGGCCCAGCAGGCCTTTAAGATGATGTGCGATCCCAATGATCTCGGATGGCCTCAGACGCATGACGGGTATCTGAAGCTTTTCCAACTTCAGCGCGGGCTTAACTTGGGGCCACAGGCGCCAGCACCAGAGTGCTGCGGCGGGGCCATGATTCCGCGAAACGGCCGGCATGGCGTGTTTTTCAAATGCGGCGACTGCGAGAAGAAGGCCAACGCGGCTGACGTACTTGGGTTTGATGTCATCATCATCGACGAGGCGCAAGATTTCACCCCATGCCAAGCCGATGCCTTCTTCAGACAGGCAGAGCACGGTGCGAGGGTGTACCTCGTTGGGGACCCGCGCCAGCGCATGTACAGATGGCGCGGAGCCCGGGACAGCTTCGAGAAGCAAGACGTGGGCGATCTCCAGTTCTCCTTGACCCTATATCCCCCCTTGGAACTATTTTTCTTATTTTTGTTTATATAAAACCCAAGAGGATATTATACATTTTCTTTTTAAGGTTCTAAGGGGAGTAGAGGACCGAGTCCTTTCGCTTCGGGCCCGAAATCGCTGAGACAGCCAATGCCGTGCTCACCTTCGCCGGCGGCGGGCATGCTGTGAAGGTGCATGGGCGCGGAGACTTGGTAGCCCAGTGGTGCCCTTGTTCCTCTTTTTCTTTTTTTTGTTGGTTCAAGGGTTCCCTTAAAATAAAGTACCCCAACCCCAGAAACAGGGTACGCTTATTGTGATATGAAGCAGGGTTTATACTATTTTTTTGGTGAGTGTATATAAGGCTCCTTTTAATATTGGTGAGTCTATATTGAGTCTATATACCGGGTGTCCTTTGGGGGCACAAGAAATATAAACCCTACTTCATATGGTTACTGGGCTTCCAAGGAGAGCCTGGCCAGGTCTTGCAGCCGGAGGAGCCCTTGCCTCCTGCAGGCCTCGGAGGGCGCGCTGCGCCGGTTGCCGTGGTCATAGCGAGGACGTGCCTTGGCCACAGAAATAGTAGGGAGGGGTCGGAATACTAGTAGTCTTCCCTTAGGGTCCCTATATACCTATACTACAAGAACCCCCAAAGCCCCATTCTAATTCTAATTATTAAGGCCCTTATAGTAACCTTTTTGTCTTTCTGGGGCTGCTCTCAGAAATCCTTGGGCGGCGGGGTATGTGTTTGGTTCAGCATGCTGCTCGTACATGCTTGGTACTTGCAGGGGAAATGGTGAGCATGCCGCTTGCATTGAAAGATCGCAAGAGCGACAATCTAAGAATAATTCAACATACCCCAAACCCATACCCCTAAACTCCTAAACCTGTAAAAGGAGAATTTATAAGGAAGGAGTTTTGCCATACCGAAGTTTCTTTTAAAGGTATGCTCAAAGGAGTTTAGGGTTTAGGGTCCAGGGTTTAGGGTTTAGAGTTTAGGGTTTAGGGTTCAGGGTGTAGGGATGTTTAGAGTTTAGGTTTTAGGGTTTAGGGATACCAGAAAAGGAACAAGGGCATCTTCCAGGAGCTGGTCAAGAGGCTGAGCTCTGCTGGTGTCTCGGGATTGAGCTGGGCGAGACTGGGCGAGGGGGCCCCGAAATATATGTTCGAGGACTGATCGGGTTTAGGGTTTAGGGTTCAGGGTTTCAGGGCTTCAGGGCTTCAGGGTTTCAGGGTTTCAGAGTTTCGGGTTACCAATTCAGAAGAACGCCTCTGAGGAGCATTCCTTCGAACCCTACCTCAAGCTCCGCCAGGGGGAGACGGTCCACATGAAGGGCAACTTGCATGCGCTACAATGCGGTTTAGGATTTAGGGTTTAGGGTTTAGGGTTTAGGGTTTAGGGTTTAGGGTTTAGCCCTAAACCCTAAACCCCAGACCCCTTAACCCTCAAGTTCCCATTGACCTTGCTTGCGGATGTCGGGGCCCTTCGCCCTTGAGGAGAATCTAGGGGTGGACTGTGGGCTGCGGACTTGAGCCTTAGCAAAAGTACTGGGATCAAACCCTGCAGTTTAGACCAGGGAGGCTGGAACCTAAACCCCAAAGTCGTGAAGTCTGCAGCCCATGCGCTGGTCAGCAGTTGCCGCTCTAAACGCCCTGAAACCTTTAGACCCTCAAGCCCCAAACCGTACGCGCCGTCAGCTTTGATATGCTGGACGTTAAAAGCAAACCTCCCTACACCCTACACCCTGCACCCTCAAGGGACTATACCCCTTAACACCCTGCTACTCGGCTCCAGTGGGTACCTCATTGGGGTCCCTCTTCTAAGGGGATCCTACTTTGGGCATCTATATTATTAGGGGTCCCTTAACCCCAAAACCCTAAACCCGAAACCCTAAACCCCCAAATGAGCCCTGAAACCCCCAGGGGAGGAGATCAGCACCTGGGAAGAGCTCCATGAGCTGATCGACGAGGAAGACGACACCAAGATGAGGACCTTGGCCGAGCTGGTGGCTTGGGAGAAGAAGGGTTTAGGGTTTTTCAGGGTTTAGAGTTTAGGGTTTAGGGTTTAGGGAGAAGAAAGCAGGGCTTGTCCTGCTAAATAGCGCGAAAGCGATATGCCTTTTCCTGCTGTTTGCAGCTTCAACACTAGATCTAGGGGGGGGGGGGGGGTCCCTTGGTTTGGTCCCTTGTTATGTAGCCCGTATATATATATATATATGTATATAGATATATATATATATATATACATATAATAAAGGGCCCATACTTCGGATCCCTCTGAAGAAGGGTAAGAGACCATACTAAGGGCCCATAGTTCCAACCTTAGATTTAGGACTCAGGGTCTTTTGGGGGCTCAGGGAGCTTAGGGTTGGGGTTGAAGGTTTACTTCTGTTAAGCAGAGCAATGCACGCCTGGCAGCAAAGAGACCCACTTGCAAGTGCTCATCATTTTTTGGGACAGAGCTCAGGGTTTACCCTAAACCCTTTTCCTCTCTAGCCGCCTGTAGAACAAAACACCGAACTGCAAGACCCCAATCGTGCCTTGGCTTTGGAGTCGCAAAGGGCCTAGAAGCAAAGAAGGTTGGGGCTTTAAGGGTTCGTAGGGTTGTCCCCCTTATACGAACAGTCCCAAGAATAGGGACTATACTCGGGGGTACTGGAATCCCGATCAAGGACTGTTAGTATCAGGAAGAACATCCCAAGTCTTTAGGGTTGTTCAAGATCCGAAGAGCAAGCAAGGTGGAGGAACACGAAGGCAACTTGCCGCACATTGTGGTTTTCGGGTTTAGGGTTTAGGGTTAGGGTTTAGGGTTTAGGGTTTAGGGTTTAGGGTTTAGGGTTTAGGGTTTAGGGTTTAGGGTTTAGGGTTTAGGGTTTAGGGTTTAGGGTTTAGGGTTTAGGGTTTAGGGTTTAGGGTTTAGGGTTTAGGGTTTAGGGTTTAGTTCCGAAGATCAGGAGTGACGTCGGGCTGACCTGGGTGTGAGTGGTTGCACAGGATTCGGGAGTTTGGTGGTCCAACCAGCCTGCATGGACCCCAGCAAGCTTTAGGGTTAGGGTTTCGGGGTTAGGGTCCACTTCCCTGAAGCTGACCTATAAATTATAGGCCCCTTTGGGCCTGTGGTATCTTGCACTCCTTGAAGCTTAAGGCAACAACGAAGATCCCCGATCATCCCCCCCCCCCCCCGCTCCCCGCCCCCCGCCCCCCAAAACAAAAATCATACCTCCACCCCCCCCCCCCCCCCCCCCCCCCGCCCCCAAACAAGAAGAAGGAAAACAAACACACATAATCCTTATATTTGGAAGCTACCCCTATTCTGGGGACTCGGGGGGCTGCTTTCATGGCCTTAAACCCTAATCCCTAAAGCCTAAACCTTAAAACCCTAAGCCCTAAACCCTCAAACAGCCACAGCTCAGGCAATATTCCAAACTTGCTGCGCCAGCTTGGCACTCCCAAGGAGGACTGGCGAGAAGCCGACCTGGCTTTCATCACGGGCCACCAAGCGACTCGGCGGTTGAAGACAGCGCGCATTCAAGATGGGTCTGGAGCCGAAACCCCAAACCCTAAGCCCCACGCCCTGAAGACTAAAAAACCATTGCGGTGCGGCTGGTCTGCTTGGCAGGTGGCGAAAAAGATTGCCTAAACCCTGATCCCTAAACCCTTAAGCCTAGGCATGTTCATCTTGAGGGTACCCTAAACCCTAAACCCTAAACCCTAAACCCTAAACCCTAAACCCTAAACCCTAAACCCTAAACCCTAAACCCTAAACAAAAGAGGCCAAAGGCCTGGAGTTCGAGCTTGTGGAGCTGGCCTCCGACTTCAAGATGCCTTTCGACGAGCACGGCCAGCTCCTTCCGCAGGAGTGCATCCAGAAGCCGTACTTCCAGGAGGAGCCTCGGTAGGGTTTAGGGTTTAGGGTTTAGGGTTTAGGGTTTAGGGTTTAGGGTTTAGGGTTTAGGGTTTAGGGTTTAGGGTTTAGGGTTTAGGGTTTAGGGTTTAATATAGGGTTTTGGGCTTAGGGTTTGGGGGTTGGGAGATTCGATTGCCGCCTTTTCTTATCCAGCCTTGGAAGAGGGGTCCTTTTTTTGCCGAAGGGGCGCCTTCCCAAAAAATGGGCCCCTAAACTCTAAACCACTAACCCTAAACCCCTAAACCCTAAACCCCCCTAAACCCTATACCCTTTTAGGAGCTGAACGTCCTCTACGTAGCCATCACGCGCGCGAAGCGGTGGCTCCGGCTCTCCCCCGAGGTGTCGAAGCTGCTGGCGGCCCTGAACGCCACGCCGAGCCGGAAGCTTCGGGTGCCCGAGGGGCGGCCCCAGCAGCTTGGGAGCCTGGTGGAAGCGTGTGTTTTCCCTAGGCCCTAAACCCTAAGCCCTAAACCCTAAATCCGAAACCCTAAACCCGGGGGGGGGTTTAGGGGGGGGGGGGGGGGGTTCAAGGGTTCCTTTATAAAGTAACCCAACCCAAAAGCAGGGTACCCCGAGTAGAAGATGGTTGCTGGGCGGCCAAAGGAAGCTGGAAGAGACCCGGGTTGGAGATGCCGCGAGATGGAAGCTTTTTGAGAAGGCAGGGTAGGTTTGAACCTAGTTTTTAAAGTTTATTGCCCTGTATAAACCTTATAAAGCGATAAACATTTATTTTTTTGGGATTGAACATGGATTGTAGCTTGTATTACTCTATATTTACTCCTCTGTCATAAAGCCATAAATAGTTTAGTTTTTATGGGTCCCCCCAAACCTGCTCAAGAAGGAGCTTCAGGATAACCCTTCCTTCGCCATTGATGTGGAGACGGTCCCCTTCCCACGCGGACCGAGCCACAACATACTGGCACTTCCTGACTCCCTCACTGTGGAGGAGGCTCCTAAACCCCAAACCCTAAACCCTAAACCGAACCCTAAACCCCAAACCCCAAACCCTAAACCCTAAACCCTAAACCCTAAACCCTAAACCCTAAACCCTAAACCCTAAACCCATATCGTAGGAATACCTTTCAGGGGGCTTGGGGAGGGCCCTCCTAGGCTCAGAGGCTGGTCTCCGAGGCCCTGGTGCGTTGGCATCCGGACAAGCTCCTCGGAATTCTGTGTAGGGTGTAGGGTTCAGGGTTCAGGGTTTAGGGTTTAGGGTTTAGGGTTTAGGGTTTAGGGTTTAGGGTGTTGCTTTGTTTCATTGCTTTGGGCTCCAGGATGGGCTATGAGGCCATCCCCACAGTCAACCCCAAAGAGGGCCTTTTTGAGCTCTTCCAGGGTTTAGGGTTTAGGGTTTAGGGTTCGGGGGGCAACCGAAGGGGGACGAGAAACCAAACAGTCAACCCCAACAGAAACCCTTGATTCCCCTGGAACAACCAACAACAAAACCCAAAGAACAACCAAACACACCTTTTCTGTAGGGCGCATTGCCCAGGGTCTTGAGCCTTGAGCCAAACATGATTTCCGGGTTTGTTAACCCTTTCAACTCCCAACACTAACTCTTTTCTACAATACCAGCAGCAGCTCCGCACTCCCCCTGTCCTAGGATTTCCTAGGACACGTTGGAGGTGCAGATCCTGGGCCAAAAACCACCGTTTAGGCAGCAGCCAGCTGCTTGAAATGCACATTATGGTTTTACGTCTTCCAGGACGACCCTTCAGCTCATTGGCCGAATCCCTTACCATTGAGGATTTCTTCACCTCGAACTTGAAAAAGTTTACGTTCCAGCGGCCCGTTCCTCACCAAGGAACTCAGCATTCACCACCCAGCCATCCTTGAGGCAATGCTTACAAAGCGTCTTAGCCCTGGGCTGTGAATATCGCAGAACATCACAGTCACTGCTTGCGTGCATACAGTTCCCACCCACTGTTGTATACAAAGTGGCACTCGCAGGAATAACCACCACTTTCTTGATCCACAGCCATTTGTACAGCCGCCGAAAGAGGCACCATGTCAATTCCCAGATTATGATTGCTGCCACCAAATACGCAACAAGGTCTGAATTGTTGATAACCATTTCAATACCTTGAGCCAGAACCATAACCGTAGATGTATTGGCGACCTGGCACACCCCTTCTTCTGAGCAAAAGAAACCAGCAGCTGACACTTCTTCTCCACCTGTTGCCATCCCTTGCAGGGATGCAGCCACCATCATGACCGCCATTGCAAGAGAGGCCCTTTTCAAGTCAGTTCCTTGCACTAACAGTTGGAGACCCCAAAGTGCCTTTTGCTTTGCATAAACCTGTCCACTCATCAATTTTGTCAACAGATCAGCAATCATATACTCACCACGAAGATGCGCTATCACCATGTAACCACGGTCCACCAGAGACCTGACTCCAGCTGCTCGAATTCTCAGGTGTCTTGTTCTCCAGCTACCAGCAGGATATTGAATGATTGAGCACGTCGAAACCGAATCTGTATACAGCACCTTTTGCAGCGATTCTTCACCTGTTCCAACCAAAGCGGCAATTATAGGGGTGCACGACTGAATCATCGTTGCTCCCTCTATGGACGCATGTAATTCAGCTTCAGCAGTACTTAACGCCACGGTTGATTGTCTCTGTGTTGCCCACATCACCGGACAATCACCCCAAACTACCACCGCTCCTGAGTGGCTCTTTTCATTTTCACCTGCTGCAAAGCTGGCATCCGCGTAAGACTCCACCACCTTGACGCCTCGCCCATAACGCAACACCTCATTCCTTTCTTTTTCGCATGTTGCGATTGCACCAAACGTCAGGCCTAACGTTGGAGTTGCAGCAAGGTATCGAAATACCTCCTCAGCCTTTTTAACCACAAATCGCGGCCTTCGGGATGTCCACAAAGACAACTGGCTTGTGCAGAAAGCCAAATCAGGTCGAGTTTTGATTGCCACCCAGAGGAACTCCCCTACGGCACCTTGAGCCGCTCGCAAGGAGGGAATATCCACCTCCTCTTCTTCACCTGGAGTTTCTTTCACCATTGGCAGGTTACTACCTTTTCCAGTTTCATCAATCTGATACCCTCTTCGGTTCAGCAAATCTCTCACGAAGTCCTCCTGGTTGAGAAAGAAGCTGCCATTTCGATACCAGATTTGGACACCCAAAAACTTCAGGAATCCATCACCACAGCCTGGACCACAGAACTCGGGTTCAGAAGTTTTCCACTCCTTCCTGATCTGTTCCAAGGCTTCCCGGAGCACTGTCATAGTCCCAGCCATCAAAAAATCATCCACGTAAAGACCCATTGTCCCCACCAACTTGCTTACATCTTCCGGCTTCTTTTGCGCCATAATAAGGAACAGACTTGGGTCTGCGTTGGACCTCTGAAAGCTCATTGCTTGTCCATCTTTTGACACCCAAGACATGCCTTGAAGACGTTGGTCTCGCCACTCCACCCATGCTGCAGGACTTTCGGCCAAACCGTACAAGGCCTTCCTCACAATCCACCGCTCCTCTTTTGTGCAAAGACCCAATTTCACCGCCGCCCTTGGAGGCTGCACCACCACCAGACGCCCTTCTCTTTGCGCCCTATTCATCGGCGCCGTCAGAAAAGCTTTGGAAATGTCTAAGCCAGCGATGATCCACACCATATGTGCTGCGTGCCTCACTTGACACCTAAATGTAGTTGAATCTAAACCTGGAGCGTACAGCGAGTGACGACTGAGGGACCTTGGCCCTTCGTATTCTGTAGCTGCCGTTGACGAAATAAAGTTCCCACATGCACAGATACGGGCACGCCTCCTCCCTGTCCCTTGCTTCCGGGTAAACACCACCAGACTGGGAACGTACTCAATCACCGGTGCATTAGGCTCTTCCGCCAATTTGTCCAACTTTTCTTGAGTTGTTGGTTCCACCACCTCCAACTCTTTAACCAAAGACTTCACCTCGTCCGACAATGAATCCCTCCACTTTTCCAGGTCTTGCATGGCTTCTTGTGTAGGAATCGTTTTTGTTTGCAGGAACTCAACCTCCTCTGCTGCCTCCAGCGCGGTATTTTCCTGTACCACCTGCTGAACTTGAGCTGCTTTGACCAAAAACTTCGAGAGCTGTTCCTCAGCCCTTTTTGCTTTAACCAGCCATTCTCTAGTCTCTGATCCTTTTTCCTCATTCGACTCATTGGCCGATCCATGGAACTCGTCCAAAATGCAACATTCCTGTTCAGCAATTAGGCGTCGAATACTCAAATGCTCCTCTAGAGCCCATTGATGCGCTTCGAACACAGCGTAGTCTACTTCCTCTGCAAAGTCGTCCAGCGAGGTTTCTCTCAGCATCATTTTTAGCCATTTCCTTTTTTCACCTTCTTCAGCTTGTGGTTCCGGAAGAGGAAACTTGCATTGGAGAAGATAGCACCTATCCTTGTAGCTCAAACGCTCCATAAAAACAGGTGTGTACCCTGTCAAGGATACCCTGTTCCCTTTCCAAGGCATAGGACCATGCAGTTTTCTCGGAAAGAACGACATGAAGTTCCAGTGGATATCCACCAATTTTCCAGGTAAGATTTTTTTCCCATAGGATTGCTCCACCACTTCAGCTCCTTCCTCCAAAACCTTTTCATCCTCAACCCACAGCTGACCCTCTTTATAGTCACCAAAGCCACACACATAATTGCAGCAATGCTTTTCATTGTGACTATCCCTATGCAATGATACCGGAGCATTGCACAGATCTGAAGAGCAGAAAATTTGGCTTCAGGATTGTGGTGCCTCACGAATGATGTCAAATAACGACATAGCCATGGCCTTCGATGGGTCTCTTTTGTAATACCACACACTCCGCCATGAGTATAGTGGCCCAACACCAGAGCTCGCGTACTTGTGCACCAATTGTTGATACCACCTCTCCGATTCACCCTCTTTGGGTATACAATCCCTTCCAAAAGCTCCTCACAGTCCACGTAATCATACATAGACCTTTCATACATTGACTTGGCTTTTTGTTCTTCTTTTTCCAACTGTGTTCCATCCTCGGCAGTCTCACTTTTGCAGACCAAATAAGCATTTTCATGAGGAGAACAGCATGTCGGCCAATACTCATCACCAGGAACATTGTCCTCAACATCTGCATTTTCTTCCAGCTCCCCCAAACCCTGCATGTCATCCTCGAAAATTTCTAAGGGCGGACTCTCCCCCCGCTTGCGAAGCAAGCGCAAAGAGCCCACATGACCACGCAGTGAAGAGGCCGGGCTTTTTTCCTTTAACCGATGGTGAGCTGGAGGATCGCGAGGCGGAGGTAAAGGAGGACCTTCCTCATCAGCGAACCGAAGCGCTGGTTTTTTCCCCTTGAGACGATGCTCCGGAGGAGAAGGCTCCTGTTCTTCTACCACCCCTTCCAGCTCCAATGCAGGCGGTTCCTTTATATTGGAAAAAATCGTAGTGCAGGGAAATAACACCAGTTCATCCGGATCTTTTGCAGTCCCTTGAGCTTCCACCCAATAACCACCAGGTAGGTCATCGCATGGACCCAAAAGAAGCGCGGGCTGCGTACGATCGACCCATTGCCGACCTTTCTTTGTTCCATCCGGACCCAGCAACTCCCACGGACGACGTTTGACTTGAATCTGAGCACCAAAGGGAAGCAATGCTTTAGGATTTAACCCCAACTCCCTTTCAGCTTTTTGCCACCGTAA